TTTATCCAATCGAGCGATGAGAGATAAAAAGTGTAGGGTTTATCCAATCGAGCAGTCAGGAATGAGAATGAAAGGGTGTTTTGGCAAACGGTTGTTAAAATCCTAGATGTAATTCTCAGTTTTTACATGCAGTTCCTAGCCCTGAACTAGCTTGGGTAGCTGACACAAAATATCAACCATAAAGGGTCATATTCCAGCCGTGAAGATTCCTCTTTCCTGACAGGCCGAAGAACTTCAGAAATTCAAGGTGGTCTTGTGCACTTGCAATGAAGCGGGGAGTATACGCATCCAAAGGAATGTAAATGCTATCCAGTGCATAGTGGATGAGGCTGGAATGTGTAACGAGCCAGAAACCCTCATACCACTGGTGGGCACCATCGAAGAAACAGAAGACCCACAGGTTGCGCGCAAGAAGGATGTAAGACGGGAACCACGCCAGGTCGTCTTGATTGGAGATCACAAACAACTCAGGTAAAACTGATTACTTTACAAAACAATAAAGGCAGACAGAGTGTCTCGGAAGCATACCAGATAAACACAATCATTAAGTCTTACGCGTGTATGGGTGTTTGTGTTGAGAACGGAAAGACGACAATGACTTTATAATTATGCATAATGGCAAGCTATCTACAAACTGCCGGCACAACTGATTTGTCCAGGTCTGGCGCAACATTGATTTGTCTACATCCAAGTTTGTCCTTATTAACAGATTAGCGATCAAATTTGTCAGCATTAATACTGGATTGCATAGTGACTACTAATTAGTGATCAGAGTGAATGTGCACGGCGCCCAGTCATAGTTAAATGTCACTGTCAATTAAACTTGAACGAAATGTCCCTCATAATAATCACTTCCCGTATCACTGATGTACTGTACACGGGTCTTAATTTTAACATGATATATCTGTGTCCCGTATGTCTATGCATAGATGGGGACTTTGAGACTGAATGGGAGCATGGTCGAGGGAGAACTACGTGGTTGAAATGGGATTATGGCTGGGAAAAGGGGCTTGTTCACTCGCTGATTTTCATCAACTGAAAGGCAAGCAGAAATTCAGGAAGATCAGAATGCGCGACTCTTGTGAATTCTTACTGACTCCTTTCATCAGACCTATTATCCAGGAGAGAACGGCCATCCAGTTGGGTATGGAGACATCATTACTAGAGAAGTATGGAAAGGAAGCCATCATGCTGACCATTCAGTATCGCATGGTAGGTTACGAGACCTTTTCTAGTGATTTGACGGACCTTTAGATTTGATCCGATAAACGATTGCGTTGTGATGCAAGTGTGATATTTTAAGGATTGTAAATCCTAGCAAAGAGAGTGATACATTCAGTAGATGTATCATGACAGAGGTTGAGAAAAGAGTTGATAAATAGAACAGTATATGTATAGTTGGACTATGCATTATTGTGTTCAGGAAGTCTTGTTGTAAATACTGGAGCCATGGCGTCATTTGGCCTGAAAACGGGACCCTTGATTATGATGAAACAAACGCGATAAAGGCAGATTACTGTCTTCTTTCCAGCACCAGTCGATATGTGCTTTTCCCTCCGAAATGTTCTACACTGGGAAGTTGGTAACAGCCGACAGTGTGAAAAAACGACCACAGCAGCTGAACAGGACCTGGCCAGGAGGACAGGGCAACCCACTCGTGTTCTGCCACCACGTTGGGATCGAGGAAAAGCAAAGCGTACGGACTGAGGAAGGAGGTGAACAGTCGAGGGCAAATCCTGAAGAAGTTGATCACGTGGTACGTACAGGGACGCCGTGAAGTTGGGGAGTCGTTTTCTCGATTAGCATTTCTTTGTTTGCTTTCTTTTCGTATCTACATCTTACATGGTCCAACCACACTGAGTCCACTAGTAGTCGCCAAAGCTATACTTGCTGTTTTTAATGGAGAGTTTTATCTACGTGCAGCCATATTTTACGGGGCTTAAATATCGAGTGAAGTCACGAAAGGTCTGTCTGCGAATGGCGAGATGGAATTGTATCTGTATTTCTTGATTACGTGTACTTCGGTTCATTTGATACACTGTTGGTCTTCTTGCACTCTTGATGCATTAATTATTTTTAAAAGGTATCTGGACCTCTTAGTAAAATTCTTGAGAAAAACAACCTCACCTTGTCAAGTTGATACTTCTCCCGCCTTGGCTCAATAACTAGGTCCGCATTGCATTAGCGATGGTTAAGCGTCTTGGCGTGAAACAAGACAGGATCGTCGTTCTCACCCAGTATCGCCTCCAGAGGACAAAGATTGAAGACAGGTTGAGGGCGGTCCACCTGGAAGATATCATAGTCAGCACTGTCATTACCAGTCAAGGTAATTCATCACTGTGTTCAGAAACAAATGCATTCGACTACTTGACGGGGTCAGCATTCTTGGCATCTGTTAAAACGACGTAAATCGCACTCTTTTCCGACCTTGGCACTCACTCGCAATTTTAGTCGGAAAACATACTGGGTGCCTCTTATTATCAGTTATAAATCATTTCAGTTAATGACAACAAGGATTCCTCAAAAGCGCCGTAGGCACTATAGCTCGCAAGCCTTAAGCAACCTGCGGAGAGGAGACAATGAGAAACAGTTGCAGCTTTCGAGGTGGGAGGAAAACCCCACGCAATCAGGTAGGGACTGAAAACCAATTCACAATGTGGACCGAGCCGGGATTCGAACCCGGACGACAGAGGTGGAGGACGAAGAAAAAACTAACATGACTCCCACAAATTCGTGGCTTGACTTTTATTTCTAGGTAAAGAATGGGACTACGTCATTTTGTCAACCGTGAGGTCACTGCCAAGGGTGGAGATTGATGAGAAGCCCTCTACCGCTTGGAAGAAACGCAACCTGGGCTTCATCACTGATGAAAATCAAATCAATGTTGCTATCACGCGGCCAAGACTGGGGCTCATCATTCTGGGTACGTTGGGTTTTTTATCACCCGGCGGGCATATTACACCGACAGGGGCAGGTTATCATTGAGTTTTCCCACTGCATCTACGTCATGCCTGTTGTGGTTGAATACTAAAGGCCTTAGCTGAAAAGCCATCTGCATTATTTTATTTATGATAAATGGCAGCCAATCGGCTGTCAATTTCCTCAAAACGTTTTGCATAGGAGGCTCATCACTCTCGACGAGAAATCTTTGCAAAAACCTGTTTTTGTTGTGCCCTAATTACTTAGAGTTACTTTCTTGTGCTTTGACCCAAAGGCAACAAGTTCCTCCTGCGTGTTCATCCAACGTGGAAGAAGCTGCTGTCCCATTACGAAGAGAAAAAAGCTTTGGTGGAAGCAAAGGACTTTCCAAAATAATCTCGGATTAGATGCTTCGAGCTTTCCATCCAATTTTGATATGTGTTGTATATGTGCGTTGAACTCCAAAACTGTGTCTTTTCCCACTTCTTGATGTTTCATATTTTTGATTTGCATATGAATGCAAAACCAACAACAACAAAAGCCGACCCACTCCGGGTGTCCACTGCTACCAGTTAGACTAGAGCGGTGTCTACACGAGACGCTTGGCATTAATCATCACTGTTTGGAATTTTTCCCCATGAGATGCGTCCTTATGGACAAGCTGTTTAAGTCCATCCACACCTGCATATGATGTATAGAAAGGCACATATTACATACAACAGTATGTCATAACAGTTGACTGTCATCTTAGTGAGAGGTGTCTCTCTTACATGCTTTCTTTGAATGAATGACATAGTTCACTTCCAGCTCTTTTGGCCAATCATATGTTTATAACTAAGGTAGAATAGGTTGAAATCTTGTAACTAGAAATGCTACGAAATATATTCCCAGGAAATGAGCTTTGTTAAATAATTAATCATTCCTTTAAGAATTAGTGTTACTTAATTCCAAATAACATTATTTTATATCTATTGCGGTCTCGCACTACATAATTATGCATTTGTTTAAAGTACACTTTTTACTGGAAAACTTTTTTTTTCTTTTTACTGAAAAATTATGTACGGTAATAAAGCTGCCGAACTTAAGCGGCCAATCTGATGGACATATCGACTTAACGACGCACATGCTGCAGGTTTCTACATCATGATAACGGGCTGGGCCATTGTTTGATATAATATACTGAGACTCCGATGGGGGTTTTCTTTGGGGGTGGTAGTGGACTTCGGGTCGGGGACTGATAAAAAATGTACAAATAAGGCGTTATAGACTGCCGTGAAATTAAAAACTCCATGACATTTGTGTTTCAGTATTGAAATAGTTTCTTAAATTTAAAGACTAGCTTTCTGCGCTAAAAATGGTACCGTATTATACTGCGTGTTAAGTTAATAATGTTATGTTCTATCATGATTTTCCTCCTAAACATCTCAACCGCAAATACCGTTATGTAATAATGCTGGTTTAGCATTCTTGTTGTACTTTAGTTTTAAGTCCTGTTTCATTTCAAGGGTTTTTGCAGAAAATACTCATCTTAATAATAATTGTGTAATACCTGACATTCCTTTTGATGCATAAATGTATATCATATACTTTGAAATATTTTAGAATATATATACAAGTCTTAAAACTCTACATGGATATATAACACACAATTATTTTAAATCATACAGCACGAAAAGTATATTTTATGTATTGAAATACTAGATTTTATGTCATATTCATGCGGGCTTTATGTAATTATGTGGTTCCTTTAAAGGGTGATGAGTTTGAGTATGACAAGGGGAAATAATCGTACTTAATATGCCATTAAAAGGGAGACTGAATGCATACATTTCATCAGGAGTATGTATAGGCAGTGGCCTAACTGTATGGTCCAGGAATCAGGAAGATTTCAGGACCTACTTTGGTTTGGTTAGAACTCCATAAATCTGACCAGGCTATAAAACCCCTGTTTTAATTCTAAGCAGGGAAGGGCAAGGATTCTAGGCGGGTGAGGTCTTCTTCAATAGCCTCTTAATTCGGTTAATATAGAAATACAGGCCTACGCTATATTCTCCTTAAGTGTGAGCGTGTAAGACTCAATGTCTAAAACTACAGCAATAAGCCTGAAAGATGGGAAAAAATAGCCAACAAAGTGCACTTATGATCAAAACAAGAAACTCAAATCCCATTTTGATATTGACAAACGTAAACGCAAATGTAAACAGTAGGCCTATATCCGTACCAACTCACATATTTATGAACAATCAATTTGAGGCAAAATAAATTGCAGCTTCAGATAATTCATCACCACGGGACATTGGAGGCCCTTGTCACTATTTGGGTCAGTAGTGTTCACTCGCGGTTGCTGGCACGGTGATTTAATGCCTCGAAATAGTTACTGGCGTGACCTTAAAACGTTAGTAGCTCTGGAGAGAGTTCCTCCCGGTCACCTTTGCTTGAGCAGCCGTGGCGTTTGGTTGGAAAAGAGAAAATCTGTCCGTTTTGCAACAAGCCCGTTTGGCGTGAATTCATTCAGGGACCGCAAATTGACCTCGATTTTAGGGCACTGTATTCTTATTTACGACACTTATGGGAATGTGCCGAAAGGAAAGGCCTGACCCCTTCCTTTGTGGGGGAGTCACTAGATTAAGAAAAGCCATTTCGTACTCACTAATTTCTGTCGTTTGACATAAATAGCTGTAAGTGGTTGTTGAAAATGCTCATTAGTTGCCCGCCGACGCAATATTTCACACTTCAGCGTAAAAAAGAAATTGCTGAAATGGGATTTTTCACGTACTTGCCTAATTTCTGTCTTTGCAAATAAAAAAGTTATCTGTGCATTTTCTTTAAAAAGTGGTAAACTTTGACTATGTAAGCCTTGCTGGGAAACGAAAATTTAGACCGTTTTCCAATACTCAACTTCGCCTCCGTCTCCCGCTTCGTCTCCGAAACCAATGCCCGATTGTGGGCCTGAAGTATTTAAATAAAATGGAAGTACGGTACTGTTTGGCTCTTTTGCATCTTACTTGATGTTTTGTGGCACTATCAGACTTACTACAGCGCTTACAAATTCAAATCGGGTAGTATAAAACAGTTGAAGCCTGAGACGGATCAGAAGTCGAGTATTGGAAAAAGGCAACTTTGAAGTTCGACTCCATTTTGAAGCTTGATATTAGCCTCGTTCGAAGCCGTTATTTAAAAAATAATTTAGCAACAATATAAATCTTGAATATAGCTACAATGGAAGCAAGAAATACTCTATTATAAAATGAAATGTAAACGGTTAAGACAAGTTACAATCATTTTGTTGCGTTATTGTTTTGAATAGCTTATATCAATTATTCTGCCCAGTTGGCGCGGAACTCAGTCGCGAAACACTGCATGGTATTGCTCGGTGTGCCGGTACCGTCATCGTGGAAGGGAGGGCCCCGGCAACCGCCCTTTGCAGGAGGAAGTCAATAAACACGTCCACGTCTCCTGATGAAAAAAAATCGGTTCCGATGAAGAGTTGCTGAGAATTTATTTCAAGGAAGTTTGCAGTTGTCGCTCCATCCAGCATGTGCGATGTTTTACTTCCAGATATTGACCACTTCAACAAAATAAAACTGACCATAACCGTTGCTGCCCGCTCCCCATTTCTCTTCCCTTTACTTAGAACAGCCTACCAGTCATACCGCAACATTCCTCTCGAAGGCCACAGGTTTGCTATTAAATGAGAGCCACAAGTCCAGCCGGATTGATGATGGGGTTGTCTAGTCACGGCTCCTCCCCTCCAAGAAATATACGAGCGAATCTGGACCACCCGATACACGGTCCACCAAGACTTTAAACTGTGAAGCATGTGGCAGGCAGCACCATCGGCCATGTCCCCCAAAAAATTTGTCGTCAAAGTTCAGTATTCCATTTCACCTGTTCATAAATTCTTCGATTTCATTTTGTTAAGAACCTGATCGCTTTACCAGAGTTGTTCATTGCTGTGCAACCATATTATCATTTTATCAAAAAGACGTGTTTTTAAATCACATTTTAGGAACAGTCGGAGGAAACTTGATTTGGGGCAACGTTTATATTGCTTGAGAAGTCACTTCGTAGGAGAAAAGATTAAAGGACTTTGTATAACTGTTTAAATCACACAAAGCTTCAGAAAATTGCTTGAATTACATAATAGATGGAGGGAAAAAAGCAAAAGTGATTTGAATTGTGTCATTAAATGTAAGAAATCATCTCGTATATTAATCCTGTTTTAATTCAACGACAGCATCAAACTTTTCAACGGCATGCAAGTTTTGACCGAGCAGATTACAGTGCAATCACATTATTAAATATCTTTTTGGGAAAAAAATAGCTTTAATAACTGTCGAAATTGAAAATTACAAGTACAATTAAGGACGCCCCTTATTCTTCTATGTCTAAACATTTAACATAATTTTTTTTAACTGTGATTTTTATTTTCCAAATAGGCCTAGTAAGAATGAGTTTACAGTGGTAGGTTGTAATTCTTGCCTTGTAAAAATTGATACAAGAAAAATTACTGGAAATAAAGCACTATATACATACATTGACATTAAAATTTGTATTTCACACAAGTTTTTTTGATAAAATGCTCTATTTTGTCAAAGATTTATTTCACACGCCGTTACACTTCAACTCACGCCATAATTGCAGTTTCGGTAATTGAATGTCTGCTTACAGATAATTTTGCCCTAACAGTCCTCAATCCTTCACTTGTTGGAGGACTGAGGAATATTAGGGATTTGAAATTCCAGTCCACTCCTCCGAGTTTGGTCGCCCTCCCAAACAACAAATACTGGGTGCGCCACTGGGTTGCAATTCCCGTTTCTCTTTAGAAAAGGTGCATTCACCTGCAAACACTGGAAGAGTAACATGTTTCCGAATTGGAAAAGGTTTCCTAATTCGCACATTTCTCGGACTGATCATAGCTGGGAAAAAACCACTGACTGAATTTAAAACCTGATTATTAACAGCCAGGCATATCATTTTATTTTCAAGCTTTGAAAACTTACGCTTCGTGGAATCGACAGTGGAATTCCAGCAATTAACCTTTTTGGGGAAAAAGCAACTACCGTCCCCTACGGCCCGTGTGACCAGTCGCCGTAAGTTTGTGCATGTCTGCAGTTTGTGTATAGTAC